GGAAGGAAGGAAGGAAGGAAGGAAGGAAGGAAGGAAGGAAGGAAGATCTGCTGCAAAACAATCCCTTTGGTGTTTCTCCTTCAGCAGCAACCCCTTCTTTATAACTCTACCCCATAAATGGCAAGGATTGCTGGAATTAGCTGAGGCAAGGAGGGAAAGCAGAATGATTAGCAGTATTTCTGAGCATATCTTGAGGAAAAGGTCACAGAGAAGCAGATGGAAAAAGTGCAAGCATGTTCTTCCTGGGCAGATGGTCTTCCCCCCCCCCCCCCCTTTGTTGATGCAGATACTGTCTGTAATTGCAGCCATCTTCTCCCATCGTTTTTGCACTGTTGCCACTATAGTATTGTTAGAGGAAATGTAGCAGTTAAGATGCTGCCCTTTGATCAAAGCGACCCAGGTTTGGGTCCTCACTTGATCACAGAGCTTACTGAGTGATCTTGGGCTAGTTCTTTTGTTCCAGCCTAAGCTACTTCACAAGACTGATATTGGATAAAATCACATGGAAATCTCCATGCAACTGCCTTGAACTTCCCAAGAAAAGGTGGTATGTAAAATAAACAAACACCAATAAAAGTATTTGAGGATTTAGGTCTCACATGAATATGTGTGTCTGATGGTGTGTGTGGGATATTGTGAGGTAATTACATCTAATTTTAAAACTAAGGACTATTTGACTTTTAACTTACATCTTGCTTGGTGCACAGGAGATGTGGAAATCGGATTACAAGAACGAAATGGACAACTGGAAGTGGATATTATTCAAGCCCGAGGATTGACCCCGAAGCCTGGCTCCAAAACTCTTCCAGGTACTATATTTCAATCTCTCTCAGTTGTTTCTTCCCTTTAATAAACTGTTCTTTCCTCTTTGTTGCTACAAAATGCTCGACGATCACTGGATGCCTGTTGTGGTTAAAAGGAGGCGCTGGATTCTAGAAAAAATAATAGGTTGGATGATTTTACAACAATTTATTTCTCTGTTTATACAGTGCAGCCACTTTAGGCAGATTGAACAGAATATATTTTTTAATGCCATTGTCTAAAATGATCTGATGTCACAGAGATGATAAGAAGCTTTCCTAGCTTTTTGGTGCTCAGGGTCAGCAAAGAGATTCATGTACTTTGATTCCTAAATCCAAAACCAACTTTTGATTTCATGCTAAATATTTTAGCAATAGCTGAGTGATTTTAAATCCTTCTGGTGAGAAGTTATCAGAGACGGAATGAGTGTTTAAAATGAAATCCACACCATTTGAAAAATTGCAATCCATTCTAAGGCAGTCCCAGCCCCAAGCAAGTCTAGATTAAGCCTTGAAATCTTTTGCCAATGTTCTACCTCACCCAGCTAGTCTTTTCCTGCTAATCCCCCTCTGAAGTGCCCCTTCACACTTCATTAGCATTGTGCAGGGTATAACCTGGGGACTAACTGGAGAAGGACACTGATTTGCTACCATATAAGCAGATAGACCAACTTACCAGTTGGACAATTTACCCAAACAATTCCTGAATTTACAGTGACATTCCTAAGATTTCAAGATAGGAGGTGGCTGGATAGGCAGGACTGTTAGTTAGTCTACATGGAGTAAACAATCTATTATGGCACTTCTTTGCTTGCAAAAGGGATGAGGAAAGGCATGAGAAACAGGAGGTCAAGCAGTTTTGTTATTTTCCTTATACAGTAGTTCCCACTTTGTTGCATTTCTGGTTTCAAGGCATTGAGGAGTACTGTTGCAAGATGATGAACCATGAGTAATATATCTTACATTAAAACTTAGCAAGACCTCTTGGTTGGTATCATCTAATTGGCTAAATTTATAACAAAAATCTCTTATAGAGATAAAAAGTCCGTGCAAGATAGTGAGTAAAACTCTTCCAAGCTTCATTAAAAATGGTACTTTTCAGTATGTTTGTGAACTGTCATTGTAGCTGTAGGTAAATCAAGCGATCACCATGGGAAATTAATTGCGCTCCAGGTAATGCAATTAAATTAATTACAGATATGAGTGGTCTTATGATGTATCAGCCATAGCAGAAACACAGTACATGGAGAGTAGAGGCATATCTCTTTCCCCTCCCCAGAATGATTGGAACAAAAATCTATCTCCTTGTGCTACCAGGAGCTCTAGGAAGAAAATCCATTTCTTACTTTTCTTACTGGGAAACTTACTGTCCAAGCTCTCTAGCTATGAGAATGGAATGCAATTTTGTTCCAATAGGAAGAAATAAGGTGTTCTGTCTCCATGCACTGCTTTCCCAGTAAGGACTGAATACATACATATTTGCATATCTACCAGCAGCCAATGCAACTCCCAAAGATAGGTGTTAATTCTACTGAACTGACTAATGTTGGTCACTATATGAGGAGTTGCATTCTGCACCAGCTGCAACTTCTGAGTTGCCATCAAGGGGAGGCCCACATACAGCAATTGCATAGTTTAACTGGGAGATGAGTCACTGTTTTCAGCACTTCCTGGTCCAGGAAAAGTTGCAACTGACAAACCAACCAGAGCTGGCTGAAAGTTCCCTGGCCATGGCCTCCACTTGCTGCTCTAGTAAAGCTGTGAGACCAGAAGAACCCATAGACTATATACCAGCTTCTTCAGGAAAGTGCAACTCCATCAAGAGTAGTAAATGGAGTAACTAGGCACCAGAAGGCATCTGTATAAACAGTAACTTTGGCTTAATGGGATTCAGTCTCAGTTTGTTCATCCCTGTCCAATCCCTCACAACTTTCAGGTACTAGGTCAGGGCAGCCATCAAGCAAAGTGAAAATTGAAGTCTTTAAGTTAAGCTCAACTTCAGTTGAATTTCTTGCTAGTGATACAGAAATGGTTTGCCATTGCCTTTTTCCAGAAAATATTTTTGATTTCTCAGCCTAGCTTACAGCCTTGGTATTACCTGGAGATCCAACTATTAGTCAGTTTTGACCTTGGTTAGCTTCTAAGCACAGATCAGCTAAGCCAAGTGCTACCCTTTGCTGAGGCACACCAAGCAAAGGATCCTTCTTTCTTTGACTTCTTAAAAATAAAGCCAATAATTACATAGGAAATTCTTTCCACAAAATAACCACATTATCTTCATGGTGGATTTTTAAAAAGTAGGCTTTGAACTTATCATGAATCCCATGCTTTTCTTGCAGCGGCATACATCAAGGCCTATCTACTAGAAAATGGGGTTTGCGTTGCAAAGAAGAAAACTAAAGTGGCTCGCAAATCTTTAGACCCCCTATACAATCAAGTGTTACTTTTTCCCGAGAGCCCACAAGGCAAAGTACTTCAGGTAAGGTGCAATTCGTTCACTTCGTTTATATTCCTCCTTTCCACTAAAATTGTCCTCAAGGCACAATAACAAATTAGATAAGATAACATTATGATCAAACTCTAAAAAATGATAAAAAGCACACCGATAGGTAAGAAAAAGCAAGCACCAAAACCTAACTAAGAAGCAAGACAGTTTAGCCATGAAAAGTCTGTGGGAATGAAATGTGTTTGCTTGCTGGCCAAAGGTCAGGAGAGTGCACACAAGGATGCTGCACCACTTGGAAAGTATCTCAAGACCTCTGTGTTCTCACAATGTCAGCAAACCAATTTCTCTCTGACTCTTCTGCAGAATGAAACTAGTATTTTTCTGCTGCAATGTTGTGTCTGTTTGTTGATCTTGAGCAGCAGCAGCTGGAGGAATTTGCTCCATGTTCTCAGCATTTCAAGTCAATAGAAACACACATAATCACAATTGGTCTACAAACAGCTTTTGAGATCTGGGGAAGTGAAAATAATAGTCATCTGGAGTACTTGAAAACAAAGCTACATTTCCCTTCTTTTGCAGGGAATTTCTGAAAGCTATCTCTGGTATTCCTGGCAAATATGCTCCCAGCTTGTTTGTTTGTTTTATTTGATGTATATGGCCACCAATTTGCAAGACTGACTCTGGGCAACTTACAACTGAAGAAACATGAAAACGAGAAGTTAATAATAAATCAAAACACAGTCTAAAATAATAAGTCATTGGAATATTAAAAAACAAACAGGATAATGAAATAGAAGTAACAATAATAACAGAAGCAACTGAGGCCAACTAACACAAATCTCATTCAAGGGTCTTACACTCTACATAAGCTCATCCCATGTTCTGGTGCAATGCTCAGGGGGAAAGTCAGAGTCTTTAGGGCCTTGTGAAAAGAGACACCTCGATCTATTCCGGAGCTTGGGGGAAAAGATCAGGTTTTCAAGAGTCATTTAAAAGCAGTTGAAACTTCTGAAAGGATGGTATTGCAGAGGGCAGGCACTGTGGCAGAAAAGATGTGCTTCCTAGGATCCATCAGATGACATTATTGGATGGATGGAACACAAAGCATGCCTGCTCTGTTGGATCTTACAGGATGGGCAGAAACAGTGGAGAAAGGCAGTCCCTTAGACAGCCAGGCCCTGTGATATGAAGGTCATGTAGATATGTCATATAACCAGTATTCTGAAGTGCCTTCAGAAAAAACTCAGTGACCAGGGGAGTCATATACTTCCCATAATCAGCAGTCTTGGTGCAGAATGGACCAGCTGAACCTTCTAAACACTTTTCAGAGGTACACCCTAGCCCTATAATTAAGAATGACAGCAGTATAATTAAATTAGTAACAGTTACTAGCCTTAAATATGTTGAAATATTTATAGTCCTTCATTTATTTATAAAATTTATGAATGCCTCAGTCCCCAAAGACTCTAGATGGTATACAAAATTTAATCTTCAAAAACATTGTTCAGTGTAGCCCATAAAAGGGTAGATCTCTTCAAAGTGGCTTGAGTAATACATATGCATTACAAAAGTGGGATATAATGAACCATTCCCCAACCCCACTACTTTCCGTAATTAGGAATCGTTCCTTTTCCCATCTGTACCCTAAATTCTTTTTGCTGGTTATAGTAGAAAATGACAGAAAGTGGAAGGGACCATAACTCAATAGGTAGTCCATTCTATGCAGGAGATCTTCAGGCATCTTGTAATTAGAGAAAAATAGGTCAGAAAGTAGGTGATAGTGAGACCCCAGGCAGCCACTGTAAGTAAGAGTAGACAATATTGGGCTAGGGGGACCGAATAATCTAATGTGGCTTAAGACAGATGTCTATGTTCATATAGCTGGGCTGTTAGAAACTGTCCTTTCTCTCCTTTTGCTATGCCTGGTGTAGACACAGATCTTTATTTGTAAGTAGAAGTGCTGGAAATAAACCAACAGTTTGGTTTTTCCACCTTGACAATACTGGACACACCTGATGTGCAGCTCCACTGAACTTTCCCTCAAGTCCTTCCTTTTGATGTTGATTAGATATCAGTCTGGGACAAGACTTTGTCAAAAGTAAAATCCCATACTAATCTCTCATCATCCATGGTTAGTGCTCCTGGATCAAACACAATCCCCATCCTTTTTGTTCCCAAGGTGATCGTCTGGGGAAACTATGGGCGCATGGAACGCAAGTACTTCATGGGCGTTGCTCGGGTCCTTTTGGAAGAACTGGATCTGTCTACTTTGGCAGTTGGTTGGTACAAGCTTTTCCCAACCTCTTCAATGGTGGATCCTACTACTGCTCCCCTTCTGCGCCAGTCCTCACAGCTTTCCCTGGAGAGTACAGTAGGACCTTGTTGTGACAGATCTTAATGAGCAAGGAAGTACTAGGGGTACTGATTCTATTTTTAAGATCATGATCTCAAGGTTTTATTTGCCAGAACGCTGTCCTCAAGTGCATTGCATCTTCAATCAGTCCCTGGGGGAGTCTGAAGGTGAGGATAGCCAAGTAACCTTGATGAAATCAAGATGGAGGCCGATGACCTTTCTCCATCCAAGTAGGAGGAGCTGTGGGGCACAAGTCCTAATTATGAAATGATACTCATAAGACACACTTTTCTGTTTTTCATTTGTTCACTGTCATCTACACATCTTTTCTTCAGATCAATGTAACATCTTGAAATGTTGCAACCATTTATTTTCATTGGGGAAGATGTTCTTTTTTAATACTATTTTACAAATTTGAAAATAAAATGAACTTTTGGCAATTCTTAAATCTTCAAAGCAAACATCTGACCTAAATAATGGCAGTTTCAGGGAAACTTTATGGGGTTTGTAAATTGTTCTTTTTCCTTTTAAAGAGTGGGGAGTAGGGGGAAAGAACTGCAACTATTTCTTAGAGGAAGTTGCATAGTACTATTCAAGGTACAAGCACCATTGCTGTATTTTTTTAATACTGTGCCAAATTACCAGCAGTGTCTTCTACTACTATAGGACTTAGGTCAACAATACTGCTGAAGCATTTTTGTGGGAAGAACTAGAAAAGATTCTAGTTCACTCAGTTGCAACACAGAACATAGCAAACCACTTAGCTGGAACACTGCACAGAAATTGCAAATTGGAAAATTTGTAGAGATTAGACTTATTATTGGATATGAACATTGTCAACACACAAAGACACACACCATACCTTACCTCAGCTTTTGCTGTGCTTTTTCTTGTTGTGTCTTCTTATTCCCACATTCTAGCCATGCTTTGAATTTTCTAATGCATATCTTTTGATGTGGAATAGGCTTTGGTTTCAAGGACAATCGTTTATTCCACTATTACAAGTAAAATTACAATATAAAAGGTTTGTTTTATTTAAAGGGAAGATACAAGAAGATGACATTCCATTTATCATCTGAGAGACGTGTGCAAAGGATCTTGGGAAGCTACATTTAACAGAAGCTAATTTTATTTGGTCTACCAGTGTTGTGAAGCTACCTGGGGGAAGAGGAGGAGGAGCAGTTAGATTTTTCCAAAGTTCAGTTGCAGGAAGTGGTAAAGGCATTTTCACAAGTGACTCTAAAAGCATCATGTGGTCTTTGAAATTATTTGTGTTCATATGTGAATTATTATAATGCACTTTTGAGTTAGTGGGAGCAGGGAATAATTAAAATTGGCATTTTAGCTTTCATGTGGCTTTGTATGCTTGTACATATAGCTGATTTATGAGTGAACTTGCCCCACTCATACAATATTCTTGATTCTTCCATGCATCATTATACAACTGTACATGTCCCAGAACCAGCAAATAAGAGTATGTCTTCTACTGTGCTAGCTATACTGATTCAGAAGGAGAATTTTTACTTTTTAACAGAGTTACTTTGAATCAGCAGAAGATGTGGAACCACTATTGAAGGATTACAGATGGAATAATGACTTTCTAACAGGTCACTTGTGAAAATGCTCTAGTCACTGCAGATTACCTTTGGGAGAGTTTGAAACTGTAAGAATAATATAATGTAAATATTTTAAGTTAGCCAATAAAGAAGATAGCTATATATATACAATATACAGCTAGACAGCAATTATCAACAAGAGTTGGTGGTGATAATTTAATTGCTATCCTAGATTACCTGGACATTGTTCTAGATAAAGGCTGTAGAATCGCCTTTCCCAACATGGTCCTCCCCAAATGTTTAGATTATATGGCCCTAAATTCCCAAGCAGCATGATCAATGTCCATATTTGGCTGGGAATTCTGGGATTTACACTTCAACACATCTAGGAGGTAACATTTTAAAGAAGACTGCATCAGAGGCAGCAGATTTAGAAGGTGTTTCAGGCAGGATCACAAATTCTATTTAGATTTTGTTAGATGTTCCTTTTAGTTCCCACTTTAATTATTGCTACGTTTTTCTGTTCGAAGGGCAACAGTTGACTTCATTTCACAGTTTAAGATGCTAAACTGTGTATTAATATTTAGGAGCCATCTGAAAATGGCTTCCTAACCTGTAATTACAGCACAACGTAGTAATCAGGGGACACCAAAATAAGCATGGCTAAAGCATGACTATAGGGGTGCCTATAGAATGAAACTTAGACAGATGTATGTTATATGTAGCATTTTAATGGTTTGTGAAATAACAGCCAAATGACTGCAAAATCAATAGGTCCAATAATGAACTCTGCTAGGAATAATCTAATATAGATAATAGAATACAGGAATGATATTAATTTTAAGCATATTAAAATCATAAAAGCTCCAGAGTTTCAGTCTGTCTAAATCTGTTTTATTTATGTGCTTTCCAGAGAATTTCTTTCCTCGTTCATATCAGAGAATTTCTATGTACAGACTGAAGGAAGATAGTTGCAGGGTAGATGCTGGTCAAAATATGTTATGACTCTTTCAGTTTATTTTTAAAACACATTAACTATACTTCAAGTTGATATGTATTCATATTTATGTATAGTAAATATTAGGCAATATTGTACAATATCTGTATGAATTAGAATAGTTTAGGTTAGATTTAGTAGTTGGTAGCCATGGACTTTTCTAACAATCTTGTTCTTTAGAAGAACTATAGGAAACTGATGCATTTCAGGATTGGGAACTGAAGAGCAGCTGTTCACGTTTTATAAACTCAGAAGATGTTTTGGTTATTTAAACCTATAAATCTGATCGATCATATTTTGTATGTTCATTGACAGTCGCTGTCAATTCTTACTGCAAATTTAAATATTTTTATTCTTATTTTGCCTTTTAATCAAAGGATTCCCAGGATAATTATCAACAAAATAAAAAAGGCAACAAAAGCTGTAACCGAAAAAGACAAAAACAAAAAACCCAAGGACTCTAGTAAGAGTCTCAATTAAATATAGCAAAATAGAAGATTAAGATTGTTAAAATTCAGATCTTAATGAATGAAAGCCCTGGGAGCATAAAAGAGTTTTGCATGCGTGGGGCAAAAATCACTGATAAAAAGCTGAGTGGGACAAAGATGACGGAGTTTTCAAAATGTTCTCATCCTCTGAGAAATTCCGCCTATTGGTGTCTTGATCGAGAAGTACTGTATACATTATGGCTTATGATTTAATATATGTAAATGTATACCCTGCATTTGGAAATCGGCAATGAAATATAAAATTAACTTACACAGTTGTAGTTTAAACATTTATTTACTGTAACGTACAGCTATCTAACCTGGAAGGTTGCAAACAACAATTAATATGCAAACTTGTACAGGAGGGTACCCAAAGTAGTAGAATACTAGCTGTATTGAAATACTTCTGTTAATTCAAGCTCATTTCAGTATGGGCTTTACGGATCAGGATGAAAGCTTGTTCCAAGCCCGCTGAATAAAACACTTTTAAAATTAGATGCAAATTTCTATTTGATCCAGAATGATTTGGAATGCATTATTAAGCCATATACATCGTGCACACGATTGTTTTTAAATGAAAAATTAGAAATTGATTTATTGAAATTCAGACTTTATGCCCTTTGTAAGCATGCAATTCTATTAACTAGTCTGTATACAAATTATTTGCAAATTATCTGAAATCTGTTGAAAACCAGGCAAGGCTGCTAACTCCTCTGTAAAGCTACATTAGGGGCAGCATTAAAGAAAAATGGTGCAAGTGGGTAAACAGATTTTATAGTGCTCCTCAGAGTCATTTTGTGTGCCCTGCACCTCAATCACATGCAGAGCGGGACAGCAACAGTCACAAGCAGTAGTTTGCACGTCTCGGCCAGGTCTATGGATCCTCTAGAAGAGAGTATGGCTCTGCGCCTGGGTGGGGCAGGCCACCTGCTAGCCCTCCATCAAAGTAGCATCACAACTCAGGGCGAGGCAGGGCCAGTTTTCAGTGCTACTTTGCAGCTATTCCATGCTGTGGTGTTATTGGGCATAGCATAGCTCCATCCCATATGGAGCATCTGCACCATCTGAGCTGGGATGGTGCCAGCTGCAGGGTGGTTTGGCTTGCCCCACCCCGGTGCAGAGCAGTGCTTTCTTCTAGTGACTAAGGGAGGATCTTCCACCTGGCCAGGATTGGCAAGCTGTTGCCCTGCTTCCAGCCATCACTTTCCTATTGCGTGTGCGAGAAATGGATGGCAGCAAATGAACCAGATGGAGTTTCTTGTACGAGGCTGGGCATGGAGTCCTGGGAAAATCCAGATTCAGTATGCCATTTGTGGGTACAGTTTGGATTTTGCCCACTGCATATCAAGGCCTTTTCAGTTTTCAGAATGGGGCACCCCTGGCATCCATCTTTAAGACACGTTGGTCCTGGTTTTGCAAATGTTTGAACTTGTGCTAAATGGGGGCAATGTCAGCTCATAGTTTCAGCGAAATAATAAAGTTATACTACTACAGCAGACCCAGAAATGATATCAGCAGATTGTTTTAATGCAGGCTGCAGGTATTAAGTAACACAAGAATTACATTTAAAAACTGCCTTGAAAGTGTTTTTCCAATTTTGCTCATTGCAATTGAATGGTTGGGTTTGGGACTGTTACTGCTTAGAACCGTGTTTCTCAATGTCAGCAAGTTTAAGATGTCTGGACTTCAGCTGGGAGTTGAAGTCCACATATCTTAAAGTTGCTGACATTGAGAAACACTGGCTTGGAACTATTTTGTGCTCTGATGTTCTAAATTAGCTATCACTATGTCCTCATCATCTGCCAGAGCGCACAGCCTCCAGGTATTCCTTATACAGAAGCAGCCAAATGGTGTGCACACTTTTACACACTGTTTTTGTTTGTTTGTTCGTTTAAGGAATTTATGTTTAATAGCACCACATGATACTATTCCTTTTCTTCATTTTTGACTTACTAGAGATTTTTGTATCACTGTAGGAAAAAGCTTCAAGGTTGCAATCTTGAAACTAATAAACTAGTCCTCATGTGATCCTGGTGAGAATTGGAGGGAGACCTCTGATCTATATCAAATGCCTTATGTGTAATCTAGTCCTTGATGGTTCAGAGAGAGAAAGAGAAAACAAGAGGGGGAAATGGAATCTCCATAGTGCAAATATTAACCAGTTGATTTATTGTAGCTGGAAGCAGAAATATTTAATGTATATTTCCAAACAGTAGCCAAAAATGGTAATTATATTAGCCTAGTAGGGTTTTTTTCTAAATCCAATCCTTGCAATTTTAAGCCTTACTGCATGGCTAGATGCAGGAATTTTCTGTTGAGAGCTGCTAAGCCTAATTTTAAAAAATATATGAAATATGAACAGTGGTGTAATAAGGAGGAGGCAGGGGGAAAGGAAAGCAGAAAGATGTGGTGGTTACAGCCACAGAACAGAAAATGATGGGTGCCTCATCACAGATTGATGGGTGGAGAACATCTAAACATTTCAAACAATAGAAATAAACTTTTGTGCTTGAAAATGACATTGTATTTGCATATTTACCACGTGTGTAGATTGCCCATTCCACCCACTCCTTTGGTGATTATTCCTAAGCAGGGACATCCTGACACCCTGAGATCAAAACAAAATTTCAAGATGGCAGCCACGACCACACAAAGTCCCACCGTGAAGTCCTGCAGTTGCAATGCATGTAGGAAAAAGGGGGGAAAGCCTTCTAAGCTTATAGACATTTTTTTAGCCCCTTCTCATCCCTACTATTCAAGCCAAAAGACTGCCCCTGAAGATGGAGATATTATAGAAGTAGTATTATTAATAGTGACAAAACTCTGTCATCAGAAGGAATTAGCATCTCACACAGATTTGTGCAAGATTCTGACCATTATTATAAACATGAATGGAAAGGCATCCAGCTAATTATAATTAGGTGCAGTTTTTCTTCATCTGTATACACCTGTCAACAGTTGAGCTATACCAAATGCATTTTTTTTTTAACTGGGAGAGACAAAGGTGGTGTAGAAATTTGCAAGGATAAAGAGTAAAGTGATATCAATACATTTTTCCATAAGCCCCTTTTCACTAAAGCTCAGACTAAGCCTTTTTCCATTTGGGTGATATTGTCCTGTACCACAATACGATCTACCATGATATGGTCTAAAAATACGATCTTGTCTTGATATGCAAACAAGAAGGGTATTTTTTCCCCCTCTCCATATATATCAACACAGCAATTCTTGATACTGAGCTGGAGTTTTCTGTAGCCTGTCTAAAATCTCAGGAGCTAAAGATCTAATTTCTGCCATTTGAGCTTCGTAAAGTCAGTGTTTAGCATGTTAACCCTGCTGTCTTGCTGTTTTTCAAAAGTTTAGAACATATTTTTATCTGACCGTAACATTTAATTATCACTTCTCTAATGTGGAAGTGGTTGCTTTGTTTGAAACAATCAATCAATTTGTATTGTTTCTGTACTCATGTTTCCTAAAATTCTCCTTATTGAGAGGAACTATTTTATATCATTTTTACACACACACACACAAAGCTTTGTTCTTTGATTTAATCATTATAAAAGCTATGACTGCTAGGAGAAAAAAAAATGATTTTCTCACATACCAACTTGAGAACAAAACATTGGCTCTAAAATCCATTCCTCTTTTCACGTGAGTGATATATCCGTAGTTAGTTCTTTAAAAATGTGTATTTTTAAAAAGATCTCTATCGATGCCACATCTCCCTTTAATTCTCCATCTTCCTAATGGTAGAAAAAGAGAAACTTAGATTTTTCAAGAGTGAAAGGATCTGTCCATAAGAGTAGATGCTAACAGTTCTCATTGCACAGGATGCACCCAGGTTCAGACTAGAAGTCGGTTTTTGAAAGAGGAAACTGAATCTGGATTTCCAGTGCCTCAAAATATCTGATTATTCTTTGTAAGTAGAATTGCTTTTGAAGATCAGAGATAAAACAAAATCCAGACTGCTATAGTTCAACCCATAATTTCTAGCTCTGGGATGAGAGTTCCGAAGAAAGAAAATAACAAATCATGAATGGCTTTGTTGTGTATATAATGCCTTTTTAATGTTTCTAATACTGGATCCCTTATAAATGTACTGTTTAAAAGGTAGTCATAAATTAATGTAGAGAATGAAATTTTGTAGATGTTGAGGCAGTAAGAATCTCAGTGTAAGCATGTGTAGTAGAATCCATCTTAGACAGCAGGGCAACTTTTTAAATGAAATACATTTTAAGTTAGTTTATTACAGGCTATTTAATAATTTTGACATGTCACTGGAGAAATATGTTCTTTAAAAACAAAAAAAATGCTGTATTTTTTTTTTAACAGAGGCTATAATTTAATCTTTTTTTTTTAAACAGAAAATGTTTTATGCTCTTGGTATAATGTATATTAATTCTTTTTCCTTATCCATGGAAACATGTTTAAAAGCCACTAGAAATAAATGGATTACAAGATCATCATAACTGATTTGTCCCACTGAATTAAAATGGAACTTCAGCACAACTAATAATTTAACGTTGAAAGACTTTATTGGTTTAGTATTAGATAATCTACAGTATGTTATAATTTAATCATTTTAATCTGGGAATGCAGAAATATGTAAATAGCTACCAGGAAATCTTCCTATAGAAATTTCACTTGAAATTATAATTTAGTATTATTAATATTGTGTAAGAATATTTGCAATTCTTTATTAAATCACTGCTAACAATCTTAAGAACCAAGCCTTTCCTGAAGGAATCGATGTTGTATTTTGAAGATGAGAAAGAAAAAAAAAAACCCACTTTGCTAGTTTGTCCTAATCCTATATCCTATAAACAACACAAAGTCTTTTTTATAAAGAGTTTAAATAGTCTTACAAGCAATAACATTTTTTTTTTTTTTTTTGGTGTGTATTGGTTGCGATGTGCAGATGGCAGTACATGGACAAGAATATACAATGACAGACTTAGTTCTTTGGGATTTCAGCTCTGGAATAGCCATATTAACCATGATCTTTTAGGTGTGTTTTTAGTAATGGAGACAGTGCTTTGCCAACAGTTTAATTCTCAAATTACTTGTGCAAGCAAATCCATTCACTGACCATAACATTTCTGTAAGTTAACTTTCATGATACAGGGTTCAATATCAAATTTACAGATGTGTCAACTTTTCTAGTTTGGAGATCATTAACATTTGTCATTGTTATTCCAGGCACTGCCACTGCCAAAATGTGAACTCTGAATTTGATAGCAGTACTGCCCCCTCTAATGGCCTATTTGGCAAATATTCCTCATTGGAAGAAATAGGAGCAGTGCATATATTTTTTTCCCTGATATATATTCCAATAATATTTCTAACATGACACCAAAGCAGAGAAATACATGCACCTTGATAAACTGCAAGCAGGAATCAATGGCCAAACCTGCAAAAATTGGCTGGTTGTGTGTATTTTCACAAAATTGCAAATAATCCCTGGGAGCTTTTACCTAAGGCTTCTGCCAAATGACAGTGGCAGAATCTACTTCACTGTTAAATAGCATCCAAAATAAATCAGCCCAGTTTACAAAATAAATATTATTCTGCTCCATCCAGTGCCAAATGAGATTGCTGTAGTGCAATCAGAAGGGAAGAAAATGAGCAAGCAAAATCTTACAGAAACTTTCAAGATGGTAAAACATTTTTTTTCCTTGTGCTAAAATTTAGCTCAGGTAGCCCTATTTTTGGCAATCCCATGGAAAATTAAATACCTTTGTGCTGATTATAAACTTATTTAATCACCAGCTACATTTAGAGTGCCAAATTTAAAATAGCTGTCAGGGAATCATCATTCTGGGGCCAAATCCATTTCCTTGCATGCTTTCATCTGCCATCCCCAGAGGCAAAACAGAAAAGTAGATTGTTATTCCCTGACTAGAAAAATTTACCACTTTAATGCCAAGGCCTTGCCTGAAAAGACATATTGTATATACAGTAGTTAAATCATGGAATTCACCATGATAAAGTGATGGCTGCCAACTTAGGGCTAGAATATAAAACTAGCTACAATACCTGCCTCAGCTTGCTTCTGCTGAGGAACAAGAGTAGAGGGGCCTTGTCTTCAGATTGCACCTTTGGCCACAGTGGGAAACAGAATATAAAAGAGAAAGCCCTTTTTTATAAGAATCATTGTGGCAATGGATGAAGCAGCCAACTAACTTAGTAAGCCTTGACCAGTTTGATTATTATACTGTTTTAAGCTAATGTATAGGAAGTGGTATATAAATGTTTTAAACAAATAAACGCTGTATATGTTCCCTTTGCACAGCAACTAAAACAGGAAGTGATGGAAAGCTTGTGGAATTCCTATGTAGTGAATGAGAACATTAGATCATCCAGTTTAAACAAAAACTCTCCAAAGTTTCTGACAGGGGCAGGAGAATTTGTGTGTGTGTGTGTGTGTGTGTGTGTGTGTGTTTAATCTGGAGAAACTAGTGATGAATCTGGAATTGCTTATACGCAAAGGAAGTTTAAGCCAGAGTACATTTGTTTAGTAAAATAGCATGCCCAGAACCAAAATAAACTAAGAGGGATGACTCTTGAAGCTATTTGTTATGTCTTACGTTTGTCTCATAATGAAATTTTTAGGGGTGTTACTTTTATGACTAGTTCAACATCCTAAAGTTGATCAATATTGAACAAGCATCCAGAAATCTAAGTTGCTCAACCCATGCAGTTATAATTATGTATTATAATTTTCTCCCTTTCTGTTTTTTCTCCCCAAAATGAACATTAAGTATGGTTATATAGCCAAGAAGGACTTCAAGATGATAAAAACTCATATATGGAAGGGTCATTGCTTTCAGTGGGACTTGATTAAGTCCAACTTTGTCTGCATTGTACACAATAGCTCTAGGTGTGAAGTCTGTTAAAATTTACCATGTAGAAGGATAAGATCTTGCCAGTCATCTAGTCTGTCCTTCCCTGGTCAAGGTAGGATATGTCATGTCCATCAGCATGCTTAGCTTGTGTTAGAATTTAACAACTAGCACAAGAGAATCCCAGCAGCTGAGCAAATAAAACACTTAGGCTACAAAGAAATTTGGTCTGTTTTATCACCCATTTGCAACCACACTACACAGCACAAGCTCTCCTCCAAATGACCCAGTCCACTAACTTCTACTAATAAATACGATTAAATTTTTACTAAGGTGCATGTATTTCCCTGGTTGGAATCTTCTGTAGCAGATTGCTCTGTTCACAGTAGCAGTGCTGTACATGTGGCAAAGTGTGATTTCGCACATAGTGTCTGGCACCTTAATGTTGGATACTGTTTTTTGTCTTTAAGGGAAGATTCTGATATACTGTTTTCTTTGTTAATTTTATCTGGCAAATACACAATGGTTGGGTAATTTACAATTAAGTGTTAAGCTAATGAAACTGTTGAAAATAATAATAATAAAAATCTTCCTTCATTTCTTAAAATGATTCTGAGGCTTTTTATTGAATGTATGTTTTTTACCGTGTTCCATTGGAATTAAGGACAAGTGTCCCTTTTTCAAGAAAAAATGATATAGAGGGAGCATGCCCGGCTTGCACCATACATATTAAGTTCACTGCTTACAAGGCTGTGAAAAATGTTCACTTGATCTGTTGATTTCATTTAGATTTAACTGTTGTAAAATGCATTTTAGAAAGTGTTGTATAATTTCATTATAACCTTGGTATTAAGTATGTCTAAAATACATTTCTGGCCTGGGACTGTTACTGCTGCTATAAATCTGGGTGTTTTGCAGGTTTGACAAAGGTGTGTCCTCTTCAACAGTAATTGGAAAGAGTAGGGGCAGGAATTCCAACATATAAGACACAATTCCCTACTCTTTTGACCAGTTTTTCTTTATTCAGTGGCTGCTATTCCAAATCAGTTTAAGTCTTATAGTTCTTACCTGTTTTTTGTACAATAAGAGACCCTGGCCACACAAACTTTTCTATACAGTGGTACCTCGGGATACGAACGCCTCTACTAATGAACATTTCGGGTTACGACCAGCTTCAGCAGGAAAATTTTACCTCGTTATAGTTCTTACCTGTTTTTTGTACAATAAGAGACCCTGGCCACACAAACTTTTCTATACAGTGGTACCTCGGGATACGAACGCCTCTACTAATGAACATTTCGGGTTACGACCAGCTTCAGCAGGAAAATTTTACCTCGGGTTACGAACTTGCCTCTACTTACGAACCGGATCTGCGGCCATTTTCCCTGCTGCCACGCAGTCGCGGCTTCCTGTGGGTGAGGTCGCGGTAGCAAGGAGACATTCAGTGAGGCTTGTGGTGTGTTTTGCGGTGTTTTGTGAAGGTTTTTGGTGTGTGTGTTAGCATGGCTCCAAAGAAAATGCAGAGCAGGCTTGGCGGGAGTAAGGCTCTGAAGGGAAAATTGCCTCGGGTTGCGACCAAATTTGGGTGGAGGGCGGAATGGATTAACTGGATTTACATTGAACCCTATGGGGAAATTTGCCTCAGGTTGCGACCAAATTCGGGCGGAGGGTGGAACGGATTAACCGGATTTACATTGAACCCTATGGGGAAATTTGCCTCGACTTGAGACCAACTCGAGTTGCAACCAGAGTCACGGAAC